CAGAGGAAAATGGGAGTAGAGGGACGTAGGAGAGGTACTGGGGGGATAAATGGTGATAGAAAGATACATGACTTGGGGTGGTAAACACACACTACAATATACAGATAATGTATTATAGAATTGTACACCTGAAACCTATATAATTTTATTAACAAATGTAACACCAATAAATGCAATAAAAAGCAAAAAAAAATGTATGCTGCACGAGGAAAGAGACCTTGTGTGTATTGTTCATTGCAGTATCCGTAGTACTGAGCACAGGTATTATCCTCAAGCTCTTCCTAATTTGAGCTCTGCCTACCTCTTAATACTGTTCCCCTCAATAGAATTGGAATATTTGAGTTTCAGAAACTCATTAGCTCACTCTTCTTTCCAGACTTTTGTATATTCAGTTCTTTAATCAAGCTAATAGCTACTTATTCCTTCTTAAGTATGTGAGTCCAGCATTATTCCTTGTATGTGTTAGTGGCAGGTGTCCCAGAAGATAGCAAAATGAAATGTCACTGTTAGTTGATTTATACCAAATTGTTATACTTTTCCTGTTAAAAAATTTATTGATTGATTTCAGAGAGAGGAAGGGAGAGGGAGACAGAAACATCAATGATGAGAGAGAATCATTGATCGGCTGCCTCCTGCACTCCCCACAGTGGGGACAGAGCTCGCAACCCAGGCATGAGCCCTTAACCGGAATCAAACCCGGGACTCTTCAGTCCTCAGGCTGACGCTCTATCCACTGAGCCAAACCAGCTATGGCTCTTTTTTTTTTTTAAGAGAATTAAAAAATTTCTTTTTAAAATTGATTTCAGAGAGGAAGGGAGAGGGAGAGAGAGATAGAAAAGTCAATGATGACAGAGAATCATTGATTGGCTGCCTCCTGCATGCCCCCTACTAGGGATTGAGCCCGCAACACTGGCTTGTGCCCTTTTCTGGAATTGAACCTGGGACCCTTCAGTCCACAGGCCGAAGCTCTATCCACTAGGCCAAACCAGCTAGGGCAGGGATTGTTAATATTTTTATATCTATATTCATAAGGGACACTGGCGTGCAGTTTTCTTGTGATCTTTGGTTTTGGTATCAGGATAATACTTCACAGATGTTAGAAAGTGTTCCCTCATCTTGTCTTTTTGAAACGATTTGACTAGGATTGGTGGTAATTCCTCAAATATTTGTCAGAAGCAGAGGCCTATTTTGTGGGACTGTAAATTTGTAAATATGGTTTGTGTGTCTGTATGCCAGAATTTGAGTTACTAAAGATAAAGTTTACACATGAAAAGAAATCCCACCAGTCGTCTGACAATCTAAAGGTAAAGGCAAATATAGACCAGATACTCTGGTAGATAACCAGTTTTGACTAGATTGGCAGTCTATTGCTGAGTTTTTTACTCCTAATTTAAGCCATTTGGCATATGTCATTAAAGTATAATTATCAGGGACTGGAGATTGTAGTGGGAATAACAGGCAGGTTTTTGACAAGTAACATGATGATGTGGGCAATGGTCTCACCCACCAAGACTAATTTTTGCTTTTGTTTTTAAGCCATTGACTCTCGCCAGAATAAATTGACAAGCAGCTCAATAAAGTTTTGTGGGAAGATGTATTGTTAGACAAACATCAGGCTTGACAAATTTAGAACACATTTTGGTTGTACTGAGTTTCAAATAAGGAGGGCAGAACTTACCTATGACCCTCTCTTCAGATTCTCAAAGGCAAGAATACAGATTTATCCATCCTCACAGTTCTGCAAATCAAAAAGAGTAGCATAGGAAAGTGTTTAAAAGCAGTGTGGGAACCACGAATCCTGGTGATAGAACACCCTGGATTCTATCTTTTTTTTTTTAAAAAAATATTTTATTGATTTTTTACAGAGAGGAAGGGAGAGGTATAGAGAGTTAGAAACATCGATCAGCTGCCTCCTGCACACTCCCTACTGGGGATGTGCCCGCAACCAAGGTACATGCCCTTGACCGGAATTGAACCTGGGACCCTTCA